AGCAGCAGCAGCATATGCTGCTGCTGCTGCTGCTGCTGCTGTTGCTACTATATTAAATAAAATATAAATATAATAAAAAAAATAATTAATAAATATATAGTTACTGCTACTAATAAATAAAAAAGCCCCAAGAATTATATTATTACCTATTTTGCATGCACGACGAATATTTATTTATTTATATAAAAGAAAAGGAGGGGAGGGAGGATAATTTGCTGCATTTGCTGCTACGTCTCTTTGCGGTGTATGTACACTGCAGCAAATAATAATTATAATTATAATTAATTAATTAATTTATTAATTAATTAAATAAATAAATAGAGCCAATGGACCTTTAGTGGGGTGCTGCTGTCTGCCTTGCTGCTGCTGCTGCTACTACTACTACTACTACTACTACTACTACTGCTGCTGCTGCTGCTGCTGCTGCTGCTGCTACTGATGCTGGGAGGAACGGGCATAGAGAAATGGGTTGTGGTGCTGCTGCTGCTGCACTCTTTTTATATTATACAGCAGCAAAAAGAATAAAAAAAAGAAAATAAATTTTATTTTTATTTTTATTAATTAAATTAGGAGAGAAAAGCCTCCAATACAATCAGCAGTAGTAGCAACCGCCGCCGCAACCGTAGCAGCAGCAGCAGCAGCTGCTGCTGCTGCTCCTGGCCACACAGGAGCAACACAGACGCCCTGCAGCAGCAGCAGCAGCAGCAGCATGTGCGTCAGCACGAAGCGTGCGGGGGGAAGATCGACCTAATAGAAGAGAAGACTTTTCAGTATCACAGCGTTAGCTGTTTTTAATGAACTAGGCAAGCTGCAGCAACTCTGCTGCAGCAGGCGTCAGCAGCAGCAGCAGCAGCAGCAGCAGCAGCAGCCGCAGCGGCTGCCGTGTCCTCCCGCTGCAGTTGTGCCGTTCTGCTGTTGGCTTCCTCCTGCCTCCCCGTCTTACACAGCAACGTTGCTGCAGTAATAGGGCGCTATAATCTAAGGGAGACAGGAGTTGCTGCTGCTGCTGGTTGCAGCAGCACAGCAGCAGCAGCAGCACAACAGCAGCAGCAGCTGCAGCAACTCCAGCAGCACTGGATGGAACGCATTTGCTGCCCTCTCTGTCTTCTCCCCAGCTGTGCTGCAACAAACCACCCATCGTCGCAGCTTCCTTCATCTCGCTTTTGCTGCAGCAGGGGAGACCACAGCAGCAACAGCAGCAGCAGCAACAGCAGCAGCAGCAGCAGCGCCTCGCCCGCCTTCGGGGGTCGTCCCCTTGCATCACCTAAGACGTGCATGCAGCTGCAGCAACCTGGCTAGAACCTGCTTCCGATGGATCTTAATAAAGACTTGCAGCATTAGCAGCACTGGCAGCAGCAGCAGCAGCAACAGCAGCAGCAGCAACAGCAGCAGCAACAGCAGCAATAGACATGGCTGCTGGCGGCATACAGCCGCCTTTGTAGTGTCTTAGGCCGGGTACAGTTCTCCCTCCTTCTTTGTCTTTGCTGCTGCTGCTTGCTTGTCTTTTTCTTTATCATCCTTAAAGGCCAGCAGCAGCAGCAGCAGCAGCAGCAACAGCAGCAACAACAGCAGCACCAGCAGCAGCAGCGCATTAGTAGCAGCTGCATCAGCAGCAGCAGCAACAGAAGCAACACATGGCTCTCTGCTGCTTTTGCTGCATCGGGTACTGCCACGACAGCAGCAGTAGCAACCTCTGCAGCAGCAGACAAATTTAAGGTATGTTCTGCTGCTGTTGCTGCTGTTGCTGTTGCTGCTGCTGTTGCTGCTGTTGTTATAATTGGTCTTCCTTCGTTTGCTGCTGTTTCTCTGATTGCTAGTGCATGGTTGCTGCTCCTTTTTCTCTCATCTTGTTGGTGTCTCCTCTCTGCTGCTGCTGTGCTGCTGTTGCTGTTGCTGTTGCTGCTGCTGCTGCTGCTGCTGCTGCAGGATGGGGCAGGTAGACGGAGCAGCAGAAGACTGCGGCCCCGCTTCTGCTGAGGATGAATCGGGGCTGCCCCTCTTTGGCTTTGCTTCAACAGATGGAGCAGCAGCAGCAGCTGCAGCAGCACCTGCAGCTGCTGCTGGTGCAGCAGCAGCTGCTGCAGCAGCAGTTCCATCATTAGGCCCGGAGGGGACTGCTGCTGGTGGGCCAGGTATGACAGCAACGCCGCTGCAGCAGCAGCAAGTGGTTCAGCAGCAAGTGGCTCCGCAGCAGCAGCTGCAGCAGCTGCAGCAGCAGCAAGCAAGTACGGGTTTAAGTTATGTGTATGAAGGTTGTCTACAGCAGCAGCAGCAGTTGCAGCAGCAGCAGCTTCAGGAGCAGCAACTCCGGCAGCAGCAGCAGCAATTACAGCAGCAGCAGCAATTACAGCAGCAACATGCACAATTGCAGCAGGTGCCCCAAGCGCTGCAGCAGCAGCAGTTACAGCAGCAACAGTTGCAGCAGCAACAGTTGCAGCAGCAGCAGTTACAGCAGCAACAATTGCAGCAGCAGTTACAGCAGCAACAATTGCAGCAGCAGCAGTTACAGCAACAACAGTTGCAGCAGCAGCAACTGAAGCAGCAGCAGCAGCAACTGCAACATTTGCAGCAGCCGGATATGCAGCAGCAGCTATTACGTCAGCAGCAGCAGCTGCAGCAGCAGCATTTTCAGCAGCAGCAGCTTCAGCAGTTACAGCAGCAGCAACTGCAGCCAGTGCTGCAGCAGCAGCCTATGCAGCATTTACAGCTGCAGCATTTGCAGCAGCAGCAATTACAGCAGCAGCATTTATTAAGACAGCAGCAATTACAGCAGCAGCAATTACAGCAGCAGCAGTTGCAGCAGCAACTGCAGCAGCAAGGGCAATCTGCTGCAGCAGCAGATTCTGCTGTTCCTTCTCAGTTATTGCAGCATCAGCTGCAGCAGCAGATTCAGTTACAGCAGCAGTTACATCAGCAGCAACTGCAGCAGCAGCAGATACTGCAGCAGCATCTTGCTGCTGCAAGTGGTAACCCTCAGCAGCAGCAGCTGATTCAGCAGCAATTTATGCGTCAGCAGCAGATACGTCAGCAATTACAGCAGCAGCAGCTGCAGCAATTGTTGCTGCAGCGTCAACTGCAGCAGCAGCATCATTTATTAGCAGCACAGCAGACGCATAGTCCTTTTTTACAGCAGCAGCAGCAGCAGCAATATCTTCAGCAATTACAGCAGCAGCAGCAAATATTGCAGCGACAGCAGCAGCAATTAATTCAAGCACAGCAACGTCAGCAGCAGCAACCGCAACAACAACATAATGCATTTGCTGAAGCAGCAGCAGCA